AAATTTGAATATACAACTTGTTACACATTTACAGCGTTGCTTTCTGATAATATCACGGTTTCCTTGAAATTACTTATGAATCTGTGGATTAGAACTAACTAAATATCATATTATTACAAATACATTAAATCAATAATAGTAACTTGCTGTTTTAAAACATGTTAAGTCATGTATAATATTTTTTGCAAATCTTAATTTTTTGCTCTGATGCGATACAAAATATGCGAGTCTTTAACTCATTGAAGTACGGAGTCGATCTAAAAAATAATTATTTAAAAATTCACTTAAAAATTAGTTGATAATGCCGTTTAGGGAAATAACCACTGCTTGTTATAAGAATTATGAAACTATAAATGAAATTTCTAGTTAAAATACAAAAAATATAAAGTGTTAAAGCAGGTGGAACATATAGTAACCCGCTCTGCTTTAAATGGTTATAGAACAACATTCATTCATATTTAACAGGTTTGCTTCACCGTCTACTGACGATATTTAGGAAATGTCTAGCTGAATATTCTGAGAATCATACGAACATGCCGAGTTATGAATATCAAAAGCATTAAAAGCTCTTGGTTTACGTAGTTACCACCCACTGTAAAATAAAAGCTCCATTAATTATACACACAAACTAATATTAACGCAATTCTTTTACCAAATAAATATTTTAATGTAGCACATAATATTAAAATATACGCGCAATAACAAATATTACAGACATTCGCAAAGGACGGATTTATTGAATATCCTCGTACAATAATAATTCTCTTTTATGTAAGCTTAAGTTTTAATTGACACAAATACAAGGCAGAAACACAGTGAAGGAAGATACTTCATTATATAAGGTTTAATTGGTGTCAAGACGTGCATAAAACAGAAATTTTATTGGTCCTAAACTATTGCGAGAGCAGAGATGTTGAAGGCAAATCTCGTATGATAATTAAGAACAAAATTTGTCAAGCATAATATTTGCTGTAGGAAATTTCAGTGACATAAACAGATGGTGGTGATATTAAGAATGCAATGTGCAGACAGGAGTGTTAAAAGTACCTAAACTAGTGTACTACTTTGCGGGCTGCATCTAATGTTAATATACTACACTGTGTTAAAGAGGCACGAACAAAAATGTGGAACATGAAGGAGAACTGTCTAGAGCAAAGAATAAAACACCACCTACTGAAACTGACCTGTCTAGCGAACCGGCGGATCCGTCCCCCCTTCTACTCCTCTTTAAGTATTTCCACCATCAGCAAAGCGACACTTGGGCCATTGAAAAAACACGTCTGCGAATTGAACGACACCATTTCGAAATTTTTATCACTATAAAACATTAGAAACCTTTCCACCCCCGTGAAACAAATATAACAGAAAACAGAGGTTGTACCCTAAACACTGAAAACAAGCGTCCCTTGATGCAAAATTCCCCGTGTGCCGAGAGAACTCCGTTCCACGACTACATGGCTACTTCTCATATAAGAGGAGATACAGCAGGCTGTGGCAGCAGGGTACGAGTACTTCCTCCCTGCCTCTCCACCCCTTACTTTTCGACGCCGTGCGGCGACTATATTATCGATTATTTAGAGGGCGCCGGGACGCTCAGAGTCACGTGGGAGCTAGTAAAATGGTGGGGGAAAATAGGGTATGTCCCCCCCACCACCATTTCTGTACAGAAATGGCCAACACAGAAATAGGTGAAGATCGAACCAAAGTGGTATAAACCTATATGGCTATTTCTATTACGTCTTCAACTGTTTTATTCATCGATAAACCATTTTGCCTTGTGTTCTGACAGCCCTTCCACGTGATACTCATAAGCGATTTGGTAAACGATTAGAATGGTAAGCTATTTGCAGATACATACAATTATTTTACATAGATTGAAAATTACCTCACTCAGTTATTAAATTAATAAGTTTGGGATAATTTAAATTTTGAATCCTGAGTTATTAGTATATGGTACTAATTCTAACAGTGTTGAATTAGGTATTAACAATTTAAAACTACGAATCTCCAAGCGCTGATAAAATTTCCGCAGAATGTATTCAAGCGGAAGGAAATCATTTGATCCACAGACTTGTATATATTTTAATTTGAATAGGGTAAAATTATCACAGTACTACAACCAAACTGTAGTTATTATCGTGGACTCCCACGCGTATAAACATTGTAAATGCTATCCAAAATTCTTCTATGAAGGCAAACTCCATATGCTACATAGAGAAAATTACTCGGGTCCATCGATATGGATAATGTAGCAGACCAACTCGCCCTTGGCCTACTATAGTTTCGACTTCCAAGGGATTTGAATCAATATTTCCCGAACTAATTTGACGCGAAATGACTTTGGGCTCTTAAAATAGTATGGAACTCTTAAAAATATTCGTGTGGTTTATTAATAACAGATACAGAACATGTCAAAGAGTTTTTACAGAAATTAACCACAACAAATAAACATTACCTATCAATTTTTGGAACAGATGATATATTTGACGGAGATGCTTAATTAAACTGCAGTTTAAAGTATACTTAGTTTTGCTGGAAGTTTACAGCACATTTTAATTAAACGAGCCAAGCTAGACTATTTTATCGAACGGTTGTGTTATAAAAATTTTATTAGAATATTTTACGTATGCAATTGTGACAAACCACGGACATTGAAATTTTCTGACTTCTTTCCTTCATTCATTAAGAAATTCATTGATTCGTTCTTTTCTCCCCTTATCTTTTTCATGTGACTGGTCAATTAGATCGAAAGTGTTTGTAAGACAAACTCATTGGAGTATGCATCGCTCTATAAGTTTGACTGGTCGAAAACCAACCAAATAATATCTCAATCGCTCTGTAACAGTTTGATTGGTCGAAAACCAACCAAATAATATCTCCTAACCGAATTCCCAGCATGAATTTCAGCAGAAGCCGTACTGTATTTCACTGGACCTTAAATGACTACCAAGTTCCTATTCAAATTATATTAAGAAAGAAGATCGCGTGACTCAATCAGAAAAATCAATTTCCCTAAAAACGGCAGTTCTCAGGTTTATTTTCCCCTGCCAGTCTTTTCGTTTCACAACTCCGGAGGTGAAATGTTTTCCATCATGACGTAACTATTTTCATGTCAATTTCAAAATACCAATGGACTTTGTCTGCCTAACACAGAGTATTTTTATCTAAGAATTATATTGGAAGAATTATTAATACAGATCTAATGATTTAATTTTGTATCAGATGTTTCATAAAATGGCGAAAATTATTAAGTATGCAATTAAAATTATAAAATGGCATAACCATAATATTTGGGCGGTTTTCTGATACGACTAATCACAGTTTTATTTCCATTCCTGGGTGTTTAATTCGTCTTAAACCAGTGACTAGTCTGCAAAAGAATTCTTCCTTAGGATTTATTTAAAAGTCCATTAAACCTGTACTGTAACTTATATGTTGTTCTGTATATCCCTGTAATGTGTAATGCTCATAATGCTTAAATATTCCCCACTCTATGAACATGTGTGTGGAATTGGAGATACATCTCAATGAGTTCATAACCTTAGTACTGGATCCCCGGGGAGACAGGCTTTGATATCCACCAAATAATAGAATAATCATACATTAATGGATATTAGGGAAAATGCTATGAACTGAATTCATCTGGCTCAGGATAGCGATCAGTGGCGGGCTCTTGTGAGCACGGTGATGAACCTTCTAGTTTCATAAAATATGGGGTAGTAATTGTTTCTCAAGGACTGCGTTCTATTGTAGCACTGACTGCAGTAACGTAATCATGTTCTCAACGCTCTGCTTTTATTAGCTGTTAGAAATTTTGATTCCCCTCGTGTTGAGCGTTGGGATGTAGCGTAGTCCACTTTGGTTCTGAGCTAACTCATAAGTCCGTAACCCCCCTCCCCCCTTTCCTTCCTCCTGGGATGGCACAGATGTCATGTATAGTGACTGGAGGAAGGGAGTTTGTGCTAACTTGCCAATTCCCTAGAGACGTTGGATAAAAGCTATGGCCTCCCCCTTATTACGGCCAGATCTCAAGGGACGCACTTCTCCACAGGTGCGAATGAATCGCTGTACGAACGAAATAGAAATAAAGAGAAGAATACGGAGAAAATAAGAGAGTAGGCCTGTCTAAAAGAATCAGAAAGAGAAAATTCTTCTGCTCTGATTTTTTGTGACAGAGGGCAAGGGAGACGTGGAGTACCCATATAAATATCGTAATTGAAGACTTGCGTTTGAGCAGGGGACAAGGTCTAGAACACAGAAATCCGAGCCAGTTAGGGTAGCGTCTGGCTTGCAGTAGCGAAATAGACCTGCAATTTCGAATCTGAAGGGAGCATCGGCTATCCTACAGGACTTCGTTATTGTTCTCATTCCTCCCAGGCGAATGTTTTGATTCTATCTTTAAACTTGTCGTGACGGGTTCCTGTCCAGTTTCTTTCCAATTCACCGTAAACGTGTTTCTGAAATTATTTCCTCTAAGACATATCAGTCAGTCGAGAAATTACTGCTAGCTCCTAAAAATTCCATACTGTAATGAATATGATAAGGATTTTTCTGTGTAACTCATTAAGTCTTTTCTATAGTTACAAATCGTGTGTTAATACTATATTTAGATATTTAAAGTTTATAATGTAGAACTGAATAAAATGTAGCTCACGGGTTACGCACATATAACGGATCATTTATATAATTGTATGTTCCCGACAACACTCTGTAAAGGACCTTTAAATATCGGCGTTTTCTTTTAAAATGCATTTATTATGTATTTTATAGCAACTAAACAAAGACGTAATCAGAAAAACCTCCCTGTTTAACTTCATAATACGTTGACTAGTTACGTTTGTAGTAGGACTCCTTTGTGTTTAGATTGGTAATTAATAAAATCCAGATACAGTGGGTTTAGGTTAGAATAGCTGTGTTAGAAATTGAAAGTATAAATAAATACAACTAGCTGAATTAAATGCATCAGTAGTTTAATAAATGCACGGAAGAAAGGTACTTACAGAAGGAGGTTTCCTTTTCAGAGCTGCAGCATCCTGAAGATATAGTCCAACGAATGAAGACACAGTTATAAACACTTCAGACGATCTTCATTTGTTTCATTTCCAGAACACGTAAAAACTAATCTAACCTCATTTTTAATGAATGTTGTCCACAAGAAATTAGTGCAATAAAAAGGCCTAATTAAAATCCACGAAAATTTGCTAAATTAATTGCTATTTTTCCCTTTCATGACTTTATTTTCCGGTCTCAAGAAAAGTTCTGCTGAATATCGCTTTGTGAATTCGTCACTACATTGTCTCATTCAGTGCAGGATAATCCGAAGGCCAGACAAGATGGTATCGTTGTGCACGTATTATTCACTGTATCAAAAGGTACTAACCTCACTTCTTATGTTGATAGAGCCTGAAACTGATAAATTATTTTGGAAGTATCTTTCAATGTTCTGAATCACTCTTCAAAATAAGGTCAGGTAAACTGATTACAGACCATATACAAAGCAGTAAAGACACACCATATAACATTCGAACTATTAACGGAAGTGTGCACTGTTATTATACGTCACATGCTGCAACACAGTTAAGGAAGGCACGATAAAGAAAAATCCTACCTAATCACTTAATCCAAAACGGCTTGTAATTTAACTGGGATTTTCTTAAAATGCTCTGTCGCTACCGAACTGCATTAGTAACTCTTTCCACACGTTCCTAAACAGCACTGTTTCTTTCTCGTAAATGAAATAGTCACCCGCAGTTAGTCGTCGATTCCTAGAAGTCTTGTAAAATTAATGGCTTCTTGATCGAATATCGGCCCGATACTGGATGTTTCCAACACGCAAGTCTTCTAAGAACCTGTCAAATGGGGTACCTGCCTCCTGAAAACCATCCAGCCACACACGTTTCCTGTTTGGATAGAGATTAAACTGTTTATCAAGCTTCGTAATTTCCATGTCAACATCTTAAGGTTGCCTTAACAGCCCAAATTTTATCGCCCTGATGATGGAGGCAGCAAGACATTCTGAAACGTCAGTAAATTTCTACCATACTACACAGTGCAACAACCCAGAAGATAACCAACCATCTTCTGACTCACAGCTGTGAAACCCTCAAATCCTACTTAGCAAGCATTCAAATTAATCTGCACTTAATGTCTTTGTGAATGTTAATTAAATTCCTTACAATCATTCCCAAACATTTTATCTCCCATATGGTAAAAGAATTTGCCTTATTCATACTATGATTCTGTCCTGCAATCTATTGACAGGACATGCACATATACTTAACAAATGTAACATAGTTTTCCAACACGTAAGAGTTTAAAAATCTCCAGAACTCTTCTTTCTGGGAATGAAAGAAATAACAAGAATGAAGCAATTAATAAATGATTTTTTATTGACCACTTTTCCTGAAAACAAAAGGCTAAATGTACGACAAAATACTGCACGATTGCACTGTAAAATACGTTTGAGAAACATAAATGGAAAGAAAGAATAGTCAACACTAACATCAAGATTTTTAAACCACATTTATTTATATATGAACAAATTAGTGCATTGCTGGTTATATATTGAATATAAAGTGAAAGACGTTAAAAAGAGGAACTGTATTATTAGTACTTGGAAGTTTCCAATTTTACCAGACATACTACTACCTTGCTCATATAAATACATGGGGGGGGGGGGGGGGGGATGGAAATCATTGACTGCAGGACTTGACAAATCCTGGGGGCCAAAGCCTTTTTTTTAAAAAAAAATAATGCATCCATGTTTTGGTTAAGTATCACCATTCAGTAGAGATAAGTTTTATGAATAATGAACAATTAGGAAACTATCTATATGGTATACTTTATATGTTATTTACACAAATAAATGTATAATGAGGGGACCATATCTGTCCAACTCCAAAACTGGTGAACACAATTTTTTATGAAGTTCACACAAGACATCACACGAATTACATTTTGGTTTGCATTGGTTTAACATAACCTCAAATTAGGCCTATTTTCTCATAAATGGCACGCTATAAAAATTTATACGGAATACAAATAAAATCATAAATGTTATTCCCGAAAGTTAGATTCAGTGTTACTTTCACAAAAGACTGCACTGTATTAAGAGAAATCAATCTAAATACCAAAGTACACTTCCACACTACAGCTTATATTTTTGATTTGATATAAATAACAAGAATAGAGAGACTGCATGTCACATTTTTCCAAGAGAGGGCTTGTAATCTCGTAAGTGCCCTCTGAGAATTCATGTGAACACAAAATCCCTGCTGCAGTCTGCTATGAATATCCCCACCATCATTCCAAAGCGAGCAGACTTTTAAGCAAATAGTTACCATCACCACGAAGACTAAAACCTCTTAATTATTAGCAATAACATTTTCCATATCTGACGTCATCTTTTCAGCTGTAGCATATAAAACAGAGAAACAAACATAATCACAAAAATATATAAAAAATGTTCTCAAAAACCTTGTATATTGCATACAAATTATTCTTATAACAATAAATAAAAGGTAATTTTGTTCCCCTAAACAGGTACAGAGTAATTTAAAAGAGTAATGAAGCACTGTATAAAGTTAACTATACTGTTGTGATAGCAAAGGCATTCTAAAGTAAGTTAGTCTGCCATTAGGCAGTATTCCTTCCACAAAACCCATGGGACTAGTAAATAACCCTTGAGGCTACTTTGCAGAGTGAGCCGGGATAGCTCAGTCAGTATAGTGACTAGCTACGGGCTGGACGACCGGGGTTCGATCCCCAACGGGGGCAGAGGATCTTTCCTCTAGCCTCTGCATCCGGACCGGCTCTGGGGCCCACCAAGCCTCCTCTACAAGGAGTACCGGGGTCCTTTCCCGGGGGTAAAGCCGGCCGGGGCGTGATGCTGACCACTCACCCCCATCTAGTGCTGAGGTCAAGGAAGAGAGTAGCTATACCTCCACTCACCCCAAGCGCCTGTATGGCACGTAGCGGGACAAACTTTACTTTTACTACTTTGCAGAACTCAGTCTGAGAAACACTGATCTAAAAGCTTCCTGTTTAAAAGGTGATTATAAAGGAAGTTTGCAAACATGAATTGAACTTCATGTTTAAAGTAACACTAATGGAAAGTAGATTTCTTAGTACTCTGAGACAGTATTTAGATGGTAACATTCAATTCAAATAGCATACATATGAACATTAAGATTTAAGTACCACTTATACAGAATGCACATAAGACAAATATCACTGTAAATGTCTTAATCTAAACCAAACTTAATATAAACAGACATATATTAAAATGTAAATCAGAACACACATGATAACAAACATGCTATGGGAATTTTAAAACTGTAGTATTATTGAAGAACAATACTTCAAGATCCAGGTACTTACAACAGGTTTTAACACTGAAACTGTAAATCAGAAAGACAACAATTAGCACTTTATGCAATTACTATTGTAAACTGTTCATTGAATGCAGTGATTCCTGACTGAATTACACAATAAATCAAACAGATAAACAAGCAAATAACCAGCCATTCTGAATGCACACCTTATATTTAAAGTTTTGGTATGATGTCCTGTAAGATGAAATGAAAATTACTCAAAGACGTCCATCTTCTGGGATGCTGCGCCATGTGTTATACACATTCCACGGATCCATAAGTTAGCCAGAATGACAATAGGATGTGGAATAAGTAATAAAATATAAAACATAAAGACAAATAGGATTCAAAATACTATAAATATTTCACATAAAATAAAGGTCTCATTCAAATGTTACACTAAATCTATACATATAGAGTAGATAAACTATATATTATATAAAGATGAAAAAAACCTTTAGAAATATTATGAGTCATTTTAAACATTAGAATTTCATCAAGAGACTAAAGGAATATGTGTTTAAGTATCCTGTCAATGCTAATTTAAAAGGGGTCTTTTTATTCACAGGACTTCCTCATGTGTAAGCACACATATCCATATGAACTATATATCTGGTTCATGTAATTTTAAATCTAGTTTAATTTGATAAATTTCAGGATATCATGGTGCTTGTGTTTCTGGGTGATGGTAATGTCATTCTAAAAATAATTAAACTATACCAATCTCTGTTTAACAACTGTATTACTGGTGTAATCTGTCCTGGCTTCTGGTTAAAGCGTATGAACACACACTTTACTTTTTATGTGTCTATTTTACACTATTCTATCGGTCAGTAAGTTATTTCTGTTCTGACAGTCCGCCACATTCTGGAGTAAAATTAAGAACCAACTGGGACAAAGCACATCCTTGTTTTAGGTAACACAGATGCAGTGTTTTCTTAAACATACAAACTGATTTTTAAATATTACTTATATGAGTCTGCTCTTAAAATATTTAACTGCTGGATAATTCTCTCAACTCTGAAACATATATAACTTTTATTGCTTTGGTGGTCCTTTATGATTAATTTCAAACTCAGATATGGAAGGGAATCCAATTCCAATCTCAAAAACAAAATCAACACCATTAAAAATGTTACCTATTAGTGATAAGTACTTCGAGTAATAAGCAATGAAAAGGGTTTGTAACATTAGGACTAACATGTTCTATGTGTATTTTCTTCTGTGACAATATACCAAAGCTCCAACAACTAATGAAAATACAGAATTCCTTCCAACTTTTGAAATTTGTGAGGATATACTGGGTTCTTAATACGGTTGCCATCAATGCTAACAGACGTCCGTCACAGCTGATTTGTTTCATTCAGGAATCACTTCCATTTGTTTCTACATACAGATCATTTTAATATTTAGCATGCAAATACATGAGAATTTAAATTATTTATCAGACCTAGAAACCTAGTCATTTCATTATAAAGTTGCATGAACTTTAAAATAACTATCTGGGAAATTCTTAAGAAAAAATTAAACTACAAAACCTGAACAGTTCACCTTATCACTACCCAGTCCAACCACAAAATAACGTACGATTTTGTTCAACTACACTTTTGTTTCTGAAGATTAAAACTGTATATAAAAACTCTGTGGGTTAATACAATTTGAATAAAGTTCCTTTACAGTAATTACTGCACAACAAAGATCACAAAAATTAAAATATATAAATAAAAGAAAACAATTACCATGTAACAATACATGTTTTATACCACCATTTTAATCCCTGCAACAACCAAATCTGAATGTTACCTATGACTGTTAACATGATATTAACATGTAATAATATCAAGATACTTAACTGAAGGTAAAGAAACAGCAGCCAAGTATATCAGTGCATAACACAATAGCAAAGGAAGAAAGGCTTACTGATATAAAGATAATGAAACAATAAACACTATGCATGAAAATAAAACCACAGAACATGGAAAAGTTTATCTATACTATCAGCCATAGGCATGGCAGTAAACCTTGCCAACACTTTTTATATTTTTCTTGAGATCACCAATTTACAATACATATTACAGATCAGAAGAGACCAACATGAATCCAAACTGTGTAGCTGCTGATTATTATTAAATGTGGAAGCAAGCACACACATACACACACACGATATTCATTTTCTGCATGTCACAGGAACTGTTAGTTGGTTGCCTTGTGTCTGTTACTGGGTGAATTAACTACAAACATATGATGAATGAGTAAAAAAGTTTAAAATGTACGCCATATTCTTAGTTAATACAGAAAAAGGCTGCAGTGGAGAACCACATAGCCATGCCAACCCTGGATTTATTATACCTCATGCTTTCTGTTCTTTGAAACATTCTCCAACTTCATTCTAATACATACCTACTAGTAAGGAATTTTAAAATCTAACAATCTAACATTTTTCATGAAACCATACTGACAGAATCTATTGGACATACCATAAAATCATGTGTGCTGCTACTTTAAACAGCCTTCAACTTGATGTCTCTCACCTTCAGCACACATCATGTAAACATTATACACCGAGATGATAAAGCATTTACAGTTGTTTTATATAAGAAGGTCTACTTTATACTGAGCCACACGGCATCAGCTACAAATGCGTTTACCAGAGAGGGAAAATAAATCATTTGGCAAGCGCTACCCAACATCTGGTATAGTCTGTGGTTGTGTGGCCAAAAGGACAAAATTGTAATTTTGAAGCCAGACCATAATATTAAGTCATGTGGCTGAAGATAAGAAAATGGACAAAAGGATGGGATCGGTATTTTCTCTGCATCTGTCACTCTGGGTAGAGATGAGTTACAGCAGAGCATGAACTGGTGGATTTGTTTTGACTGGAATCTTCTCACGGAAGTGCCAGGTAATATCAGGAGACATGAAGTGGGGATGGCTTCAACTATAATACATCTCTCTGGAGTTCCAATGAGGTACCATAGGCTAACCTTATTTGACCAGGTGTCTGCCTCTTTGTTGCCGGTGGTATGTATGGTCAGATACTCCAGAATGGTTACAGACATACCAGATAGATAGAGGAGAATCAGGCGAAACACTGCGAGACCTTACTTTGCAGTTGCTACACTGTGCAATAGCTCTGACTCACATACCCAAACAACCTTTTTAATACCGAGTGTAGTCATATGTCACAGGTTATGATATCATGACAATCAACGTTTATGAGCAGTTTCGATTTTCAGAGTAGATGATGGAGGCAGTATGTTTCTCCAAAGCAGCAATAACCATCTACTAGGCTACATGGTGTTACAATCCAGAAGATCACCATCTGAACTATCATGACTGTGAAAACCTCAAATCTCAAAATCTGGAATAATCTCACTTCTTATCCGTCTTCAGGTCCAAGCCCTGGAGACAAATGATATCTCCTACAGACTAGCAGACAGTCCATATGCTGGACTCCAAATCTGATTTCTGATAAATGTTAGATGTTATAACAGTTTAATACAGAAACAAACATGCAGATAAATTTTTAAAGGCAAAGAACTATGGTTCTCTCCCAAACAACATACTTTTAGTTTTTATAACAAGTCTACAATGGAACAGGATGAGCCGGGATAGCTCAGTCGGTATAGTGACTAGCTACGGGCTGGACGGCCGGGGTTCGATCCCCGACGGGGGCAGAGGATTTTTCCTCTAGCC